CGCATCTCTCGTCAATTCAGAAAAGATACATACAAATGAGAAAGAAAAGCTGATGAGAAGCTTTTTAGGAGGGGAAAAAATCTGGCTTAAGAAAAAAGTTTAACAGTTAACAGTCTTTACAGTTTAGGAACTTTATTTTAGATTTTTAAAATTAAAAGTTTTTGATTTCAAAAATTTTAACTTTTACATTTTAGAATTAAAATTTTTACTTTTTAAATTTTATAATTTTTATTTTTCAATTTGTTTTTATGTTAATGTTTTACATCATTTCTTCCATTTTTTCAGACTCAATAGATCAATAGTGTATATATACTGTAAATATTGTAGTAGTAGACATATAGTGAGTGGTATGGTAGGTAAATAAGTATAGTAAGTACAGTAAGTAAGTAAGTAAGTAAGTATAGTATAAGCAGTAGTAAGTATATAGTTGCGGTAGTAATAATATATATGTATTATTGACCTATTGAGTATGAATAAATTGGAAAAATGATATGTAGCATTAAGATAAAAATAAAATTGAAAACCAATAATTTTAAAATTTATAAAGTAAGAATTGAAATCTAAAATTTACAATATAAAAAATTTGAAATTAAAAAATTAAAAAATAAAATTCTTGAATTGTAGAGCATATAAATTTTAAACTATAAATTTTCTTGCAGTAGAAGTTAAGAATAAGCTATCATACACAGTGTACTCACGGATTAGAACCTGTAGTGTAAGCGACCACTACAACACAACACAACACCACACAACACTACCGACTGACCGACTGACTGACCCACTGACCTGCTCACCCATGAAATTACTTCGCTTGCTGAAACCAAACTGACTGAAATTTAGGGTTGGGTTTGCCCTTTTATAATCTCGTAAACTGCTGGCCTGAAGCCACCACAAACAATCCCACCCCCCCCCCCTGGCTGACCCCTCTCGCAATTAGGATGTATTCCAGAAACTTCTTCCTTGTTTTCCAATGGCGGAAAATCCGAGCTTTGCGGGATTTCAGGAAGGCGTGCATTCCATCACTTTCGGATGCGGCCAGGCGGGGTCCTTTGTTTCACTGAGATGGATGATGGACCTTACGCGTCACTGTAATCAGGACATGGAAATCCCCTGTTTTGTTTCTTTGGCGGTCCGGTCAAGAAACCTCCGGGCTGCAAAACAATGGGAGAGGGGGGGGGATCGTAAACAGGAAAAAAAACACGGAAATAAATTATTTCGGAAACACATCCGTTACAGTGAAAAAGCAAAAAAATACTGAACTACAAAGAGAGAGAGAGAGGGGGCGGGTGGCAAAGTCCAGAGAAAGTCTCTGAGTGGGTCGAATTTTGGAAAAAGGCACCATCGCAATTACAGTGTTGTAAAAAGATTGCTTCTTCATAATTATCAAAGAAATCTCCCAGAATAACAAATGGACTACATTTTGCAATTTGCAATGTATGTGCCATTAGTTTCCCAATGCATATGAGTGTTTTTTCATAAGAGCCAAAATTTATAGTTCCAAATTGCAAAATGCAGTCCAAATAGTTCTGGCTTTTCTCACGAAACAATTGTTAGTTTTGAAGGAAAATACTGAAGGTAAGTTCTAACACTGTACATAGATTATAAGTAATTTTAAACGTACAGAAGAAGGTGCACGATCTTGAAAACACTGTAATCGCGCTGGTTCCTTTTTGCTAAATGCCATCCAAGTGAATTGCGTAGTTCCACAAACAAAAGCGGTGCGTATCACGATAATATTAATATTATGTCTTGGTGAGGTATGGTATGAATATTTTTCCTTGAAATATTTAGATAGTTTTGATGAAATCGCGATTAAAATTCATGAACAAATTTTTTTTTTGGGGGGGGCACAAATTCCCCACGAAATTCCCGTTTTATCTCACAAATTTTGACAACGTCCGAGGGCTCATAGGACGTTCTTTCGCAATGCAGAGTTCGGACTGACGGGATTTGAGTGTTGACTTCAAACATTCTTTTTGCCGATTGATTTTTCTGGCTATCGATGAGAGGTATTCTACAGCTGGGCCTGCTCTCCGCAGATCAGGGTGTCTACAGGTCCGGAAAACCCGGAGATTACTCTTTTTTTAGGGTGGCTCCAGTGACGTGGCGTGCTTTGCGATATATCGATTGTTATGCCATTTAAACCCATGGAAAATGATCGATGAACAGGGTGTTCGCTACGAACACCTTAATAATCGATTCTTTACCATACGTTTAAATTGCAAAACAATCGATACTTCGCAATTCACGCCACGCCACTGCGTGGCTCGGAAGCAATCGTAATGCGTGTTTTTTAAAGACAGCCTGGAAAGTATGCAATCTCTTGCGCACTAATTCTTTGTCTTGCATCAACGCACGTTTTGCTTTCCTTCTCAATCGTTAAAGTCTCCTAGTAATTCTGTCGCGCTAAGGAAGAACGCCTTATGAGCATTCGAAACTTGCCAAATTTCCCTCGGTAAAATGTTCATTTTTGAGAAAAGTTATGAACATTTTTTCTTGAAATTTTCAGGAGCTTTAGGTGAAATTGCTAACAACATAATCTGAAAAATTGGGAGAAAAATATATAAGTTTACCAGGAAATTCGTGTTTTATAAATGAAAATTTGGCAACGCCTGAAGGTTCATACGGTGTTTCTCCTTTGCACGGCAGAATTTGCCATGGAAGATTCGGATGAACACCGGCTAAAATAGGCGGATTTTCATCAAGTTAGACACAATTTCATTTCTGTCGATCGTATTAAAAAAATTTCCATCGGAAGTTCCAATCTTATTATACTTTTAATTTTAAATCATCATAATTTGTTCAGCTTGAACTAAAACTCAACTTAAAACAGTGCCCAAAAATAGGGCAAAAATTCCAAATCTGTGGTGAGCGCCATCAGGCATTCCTAGGATCGGGCAACTGATCTTCTCGTTTATCAGGAATCTAGTGGTTGAATTTAAATTATTTTTTTTTCTTTATTCAAAATATAGAGAACTACAAAGTATTAACGCTATTTGCTATGACTAAAAATTAAAATAAGACCAAAATTTAATTCGGATCTTTCGATAAGAATTCCTTGCAGGAGTCTGAACTTTGATAAATATTTTGTATTTAAGTAGAAACTACCGAGAGAACTGAGCACGAGGACACTTTTGGTTCATGGATTGATTACCTAATTACTGAGATACAAAAAAAATGATTTAATCCGCTGAATTACATGTGTTGAAATAGGAAATCAAGTTTAGCGAATATTGTATAACACAATGTCTAAAAGGTAGTAGCACTGAATATATTGGCATGTAGGGTGTAGCCAAGTGCTAGAGATAATATTACAATTTTATAAAAAAAAAAACACTTACATAAACTTTGACCGAGGTTTTTCGAAGGGCGAGCGCTTCATCGTCAGGGTCACAAAGTATATGTCTCAGGCAAATAGTAAAATCAGGCATTTTGTCAAATGCCTAGGCAAATAATCAAATAAATTAACTTAGATTGAAAGGAGGGGTATCGTTAAGGGCCTTTTTTGGGCCCACCCTGAAATTCCTCAACTCCGCGATTTTTTGGTCATTGAAGGTCTATATTTTACGGAAAGCATAATGGTTTGGTAATTTTCGATCTATCTCGGGGTCTACCACTGGCATGATCCGAAAAAAATGGCGCAAAACCACCTAAACGCGAATTGTTCTCGATTTTCCCGAATAACATGTGGCAACGCTGAGCCACAGCGGGAGATAAATATAAAACAAAGAAAATTGTTCAAAGTGACTCTCTTACATCCCTAATGAACATCCTTGAAGGAATTTTTTGTCCTCCGAAGGGATCTGTATGAAACAGCGCGTTGAATGCCGAAAAATCCGCATTTTTCGCCAAAATTGGCCTTCAGACCCATGTTTAGGCCAGTGATAGACCCCGAAATAGATCGAAAATGACCAAACCATTATGCATTCCGTAAAATATGGACCTTCAATGACCAAAAAATCGCGGAGTTGAGGAATTTCAGGGTGGACCCAAAAAAGGCCCTTAACGATACCCCTCCTTTGCCGTTATTCAATTGATGAGCAGGGCCTATGAAATCCCATAAACCCATTACATTTACATTGACAGATCGGAAGTTCGTCTTACGACGCACAATGTCAAAAAACAAATTAATTGTGTCGCCAGACAACACGTCCTGCAATATGTCATCAATTGAAGCTGTATTCATGCTTATTTTATTGAAAATATCCTCAGAGAACAAAGGATAGGAAAAGAAACATTAGAACAGAAAAGAAAAGAAAAGACAGAAAAAAGCAGAAGATATTCAAGAAAAACACAGCATAACAGAGAAAAAAAATACAAAAAAATAACAAAGAAAACGACTCCACTGGGGTAATCTGAGCTCAGCTGCGTGTGAGCATGAGCAAGATAAAATAAAAACACCGAGGAGATTTAAGAAAAACACAGCAAAGCAGAGAAAAAGTACAGTCAAATAAATAAAGAAAATTACTATCGAAGAAATTCTAATTAGGTATTCGGAAAATAATTCGCTCGCGTAATCTATGCGTAGCTGCGTGGGAGCATGAGCGAGATTTAAGTGGGGAACGGTCAGACGTAGGGGAAAGGTTCAGGCTGAACCGTTCAGCACAGCGCAGCGTCAGTCACCGCGTGGGAAGAGAGGCGGGGTGGGAACATTTCCCCTCGAGTGAAATAGAAAAAGGTGGAATCGCTGAAAGTCTGAATCCTTCGAAGTTTATATTAATGATGATACATCTTAAAAAAAAATAATCTAATTGAGAAAACTAAAGAAAAATCGAGGGTCAGGGATTTTTGGGGGTTATTTTACAACAGAACTGTACCCCTAGAAATACCAAGCCGGGTCAAATTGGCCCGATCATTTCTTATGGGGGAGTTATGGGGCCGTGCCGGCCGTGCTGTACTGTAAGCGGCTCATTGCGAGTTCACGCCTCACGCCTTCGCGCCTTCAATTTTGTAGATGCAGCATGGACATCCATCAAGCACGAATAGTTGTATCTCTGCGCCGTCATCGAACCGCATCTTTTTTCTTGCGGTTAAGCTGTTTCCAAACTATGTTTATTATTTCCGTTTGTCTTATTCGTAGTGGTTCTTCAAGGGCTACGTGAGTAAAGCAACCGAAGATAAGAGAGACGTAATCGGAACTCTTTTGTAAATTTTTCTCCCGAATCTAAGCGACACCTCATTGGTAGCATGGAGTGGAGCATGACCATTGCGAGTTCATGCCTCGTGCCATCGCGCTTTTAATCTAGCAAATGCAACACGTACATACATGAAGTACGAGTATTTGTATGCAATACCATCAACGCGCTTTGAGCCGTCTTTTATTTTTGAAATTTGATCAAAGTTAAGGTTAAATTTGCTCAAAATATAATGTGTTCAAGTCAATAATCATTTTGAAAAAAAAAAAGTTCAAAGGTCTGAAGCATTATGAAGGGCGCACGTCTAACAACCGGTATTGTAGCGAGATTTGTGTCGTGTTAGGGATTTTTTTTTTTTTTTTTTTTTTTTTTTTTTTTTTTTTTTGATGACTACTTCTAAGCGATCCCAAACCGTGTCAAACTAACCCGACTATCTTCTCTGGGGGAGGTACATACGGCGGATGAGGGTTGAAAGAGGAAGCGTCATTATGTTTCCAAAAAAGTTATTTCTCTACTTTCAAAGGCATAGAAATAACATGCCTAGATACCTAGCACCTCAAAAACTATCAAAATCAAAGTCTCTAGATGTGGCCGTGAAATTTACCCAACTTGGGACTTTGCGTGAAAAAAATTGGACTGCATTTTGCAACTAGGAACTACCATTTCAGACTTATCCGTGAATGCTCCTATTTGCACGGTTAATCTCACAGCACATATGTTATTTCTAGGCAGAGCTAGAAATATTAGCTCCCGATGGGAATATTTAGTCCAATTCTTCGGCATCTAAAGTTTAAACGTACATTTGAGGAAGAATTTGTTCCGTGTTTCCATTGAATGTTCGGGGTGGGTTCATGCTTGGACAGTGTTGAACTTCCTGAGCTTGAAGAGGGCGACGACCCAGTCGGAGTCATTGCCTTGGGAGTAGTCGCGGCGGAAACGAGCGACGAGGTCGACGTAGAGAAGGGGAGCAGGACGTTGGAGCCCTTGGTCCATCCACTTGAGCGCGACGCAGACGACGTCCACGTGACAGAACTTGCGCTCGACCACCCTCTGAAGGGTCATCCGTCGCGGGATGACCAGCTGGACGTCCTCCGGCGACAGGCGGATGTTCTCCATCACGACGCCCTCCCACGTCCCCGCGTCTTGACGCAGTCGCTCCAGCCCCACCCGGGTCATCAACGGCTCCAGCGACGCGAAATCCTTCACCTGGAGCAGCTCCGTGATCCTCGAGATGGCATACCTGCAACGAGATGAGGAGCATCACTTGGATTGAATTTTGCAAAAACAAGATGGAGAAATGGTGCTGGGTTCACACCATTTCGCGGGGAAAACAAAGCCAAGAAGATTCTCCACCTCATTACTTACATACAGTTCGAACCTCTTCTTACACGGAGAAAAAAAACTCGTGCGTGGGACCCGAAGTTTAGGTCATATGGATCTCTGAAGTTTTCAGATTGAGCATCTGAACACTTTAGGTCTAGCTGCCGAGGTTCGGATCATACATCTGAAACTTCAGTTCTTTCATCTGAAGTACTTCAGATGTGAGAACCGAAGTACTTCGGATGTGAGAGCCGAAGTACTTCGGATGTGAGAACCGAAGTACTTCAGATGTAAGAACTGAAGTTTCAGATGTGTGATCCGAACCTTGGCAGCTAGACCTAAAGTGTTCAGATGCTCAATCTGAAAACTTCAGAGATCCATATGACCTAAACTTCGGGTCCCACGCACGAGTTTTTTTTTCTCCGTGTAGGGTTTTTTTTTTTCATTTTGCAAGAAGGAACCAAGAGCAATCCGATGTTGCTAAGATTTTGCAACTTACCTTCCTTGAAATAATATGACTGAAATTCAAAAAATTAAATTTACAAAGGTAGTTTTCGTCTTGAAATTATAGTTCATTGGGAGTAAAGGCTTACCTTGTTTGGATAATCAGTTTATATTTGCAAGGTAAACTTTGCACAATCTTAACGACATTGGAATGCTCATGGTTCCTTTTTGCAAAATGCAATCCATTTGAACTGCATTCCGCAATTTGGAGTTGCGATGTTTGGCTCAGCTTAGAAAGGACGTATGTACCATTATTATCCCCACGCACATGGGTGTTTTCGGGGATGGGTCGAGAATTGTAGTTCCTGACTGCAAAATGCAGTCCAATTACGTGAGTGAACTTCATAGCTATCATGATTTCAATATGACATACTCGTATTACACCTGGGATCTAGTAGGGTGACTTCTACGATTCTGATGTATTTGCAAGATGAAACGTCTCTCCTTAATAAAGTCTAGGATAGTGATAGATCTTTTATTACCGCGGGGCGGTCCTCGCTTGTCGAGGCAAGAGGCAATAAGACGCTTGTCGGAGATTCGGCCGGACAGAAACTAGCGGGGCACGGCATGCATCCGTTTTAGACGTCCCTTTTAATGTACGCATTTAGAGTCTATTACCTTCCAGTATCCCGAATTGGTACGTACTTTGTTCCACGGTGGAAATCTGCCTCCTGGAAGTCGGGATCCCAAGTTCGCCGCAAGGTCCTGAAGTTGAGTTTGATGGTGAGCCACGCCAGGGGGTTCTGAACGAAGTACAAACGTGGGACCTCTCGTTTCTCACGATGTTGCGACGTCGAGCGGTGCAACCGATGCTTTGAAGTTCTCGAGACTCCCGTCGGCCGTAGAAACTCTCCGGCCGCGAGGTTCGGCGAGAAATTACGAATCAAGTCGTCCAGCGGGTTGCCTACGCAGTGTTTCGGAAGGCGCGCTGTCTCCTCCATTAGAACGCTTTGAGTTTTGGTCGCCAGGAGGCGTAAACGAGATTTCAAGGGGGCTAGCATCGTCGGAAAAGGTGGTAGATCTGAGCAAACAGAATATGTAATTTAAGAGGAGGTTTATGGTGATTAGAGAGGAATTAAAAGCAGTTCGACCGTAGCAACTTTTTTTTGGTGTTACATTCGAGTACGTGTCACAATCTAAAGTATAAAATTGTAAGTTTAAAGCATAAAGCATAATGCCTGAGGCGCGAAGCCATTCGAGGGTTTGGACCCGCGAAGCGGTCAGGGGCCGTAACCCCAAGTTACTGTGTATGTACTACTGACCGCCCACAGGAAAAAAGACCAAAGTCTACAAAAACTTTAAAATGAGTTAGGTATTGATACCAAAAGCCTGTGAAGTAGTCGGAGGGGAAGGGTGCAGACCCTCTAGGACCTTCCTCTCCCCTGTAACTTTATAATATTTTCCTCCTACACTAGTTTCATAACAGTTTTTTTTTTCACATATGTCGCACTTCCAACATTTGAGAAATTGGATCATCCAATATCGCCAGTAATCAACACAGGCTCGGACTGGCCATAAGGCCAATCTGCCATTGGCAGATACGCCCCTTTGCGCGCCGTAAACGCGCCCCTCTTACAGATAGCAAAATAAGAAGAAAAGAAAAAAATTACGACCGAGAATATGTGAGAAAAATTTCTTAAATGAACGGAAAAAGAGAGAGTTAGGAGTAAAGAAAGGTGCTTTAACGCGTGATAGTGGTGAACAGAGGTCCAAGAACTACTTTCTGAAGCGTAAACAATTTTCTGTGAAATTTTCACCTTCTTCTTGAAATACAGGCGCGCTTTATCATCCCCCTCCTTCATTCGCTATGTGTATAACTCCCTTAGAAGCGATGGTCGGTTCGATTTTTAGACATTCGCATCCTCTATATACCGCTTGAGAAACCTTTAAACATATTTCTTCCTTTTCAAATAACTATTGATTTGGACGTACCATAGCATAGCTCGGGCAAACTTAACCTTAATTTATCTCGAAATTCAAAAATAAGAGACATCTAAAATGTAAACGCGATACAACTATTCGCGCAAGATGGATGTCCACATTGCATATGAAAAATGTAAGACGCGTGAATCGTGAACTCGCAATGTTCTGCTCTAGTTTGAAGCAACATTACAAATAAGACAAACGCAAACAAACACAATATGGAAATAAAGCGAGGGAAAGGATGCGCGTTAACGTCGGCGCAGAGATACAACTATTCGCACTCGATGGACGTCCGTGCTGCATCTGAAAAATTGAAGGCGCGATGACGCGAACCGTGAGCTCTCAATGCTCTGCTTTATGCTGCCAATGAAGCGTCGCTCTGATTTTGAAGAAAAGTTTAAAAAAAGGCCTGAGGACATCTCTCCTACCTTCGGCTGTATTACTCACGTTGTGCTTGAAGCACCATTACGAATAAGACAAACGGAAACAAACCCAGTACGTAAAAAGAGGGAGGGAAAGGATGCGTGTTTACGACGGCGCTAAGATACAACTATTTGTACTTGATGGACGTCCGTGCTGCATCTGAAAAATCGAAGGCGCGATATTGCAAAGGATGAGCTCTCCATGCTGTGCTTCACGTTCAATTTTGCAATTTTTACTCCGTGCGATCAATAAACTTAGAACCTGAAAATAGCGTAAACTTGTGCTGATTTGCCAAAATTTTCTGAACCCCTCTCCACGTCGGGAATGCCCTACCAGGAAATATCACATTACGCCCAACCAGCCAAGGGTCTACGCCCTCAGATGCGAGCCAGTCCGACCCTGAATCAACAACTTTTTTCCCCTTTTTGGGTGGTGAGAGAGGATACAGCCCTCAGTTTTGCCTTTTCTTTGGAGAAATATATTCAGAAGGTATCTAAAGTTAAATCAATAGTTAGTATCAATAGTTTGACAATAAACAGTGAATAACGAAAACGGTAATTTCTGCAAAGAGAATCATGGGTACAAACCAGGTGAAATAATGCTGAACGTGAAGATTTAAAGATGCTTGAGATTTGAATTGGCGTCGCGAGACGAATTTTTTGAACATCGGTATCTCAATTTTTTTCGTAGTCTTCTTGAAAATCCGGAAAGAATTTAAAGCAATTGAGTAGGCATTATGCAAACTTGAAATTTAGGGTTAAATATGTTTAATTATTTTTGTAGGTTATATTTAGGAGGGAATTAATAGAATTATAAGGGAATTCCAAACGCAAAGTGTGTGATTTAATTCTTGGGTACATTCAGACAACGTGCGTCTCTCAAAAGAAGGGGGGGGGGGGAGAAAAAGGGAAAACAGAAATTCCACCGTAAATCGGGATGCTCAGCTCTTCAACTTTTTTCGAACTTTGCGTCATACTGAGGAAAGAATCTTTGAAACGCTGTAGTTTAAACTGATGAATATTTTTTCAATGGTTTTGAAATGCTGCACTAACGCTAACAGTTCTAGAATTTACAAATAAAAATTAAGTGAAAATAATTTAAAGTGGCTCTATTTTTGGCGCGTTGTCATCAACCAATAGGCATTGACTGACCTCGCGACCGTGCTCCAATGCTGTGGCGTCCTCTCTAACTCAGTCTGTCTTAGATTGTAAACAAAGCTATTAGCTAACCTAACCTAATAAATTCAGTCTCAATCTGTTCTGTTACTGGCTCCTCAAATTTTTTTTTTCTCTTTTTCTTAAATTTATTTAAGGTTTTTACCAAATAAATGAGACACATATGTGCGTTATTTTACTACTTAATTTTTAGAACGTTTTAAGACAGCCTGCGTCTCCTTTAATTTTTTTTCCAGTCGTTGGCCTTCAGTTTTGCTGGTGCTCTCAGAATGGATCCTGCCTTACTTCGAGAAAGAGAACTATTCAAGAAACGAGCTTTAGCGACTCCGACGTAAGTTTATGTTTTCTAATTTAAAGCAATTTCTTAAGTTGAACATAACTTTGTAACGGATTCACCAGGTGTCACAAGACTCACAGTGGTCAGGTCATCATAGCGCACTTAATCTCTCTAAGAGGAAAGTGTTGGTTGAATTAACTGAAATGGAACATATCTAATTCTTGCACCTAAGCATAAACTATGTAAGCAATGGGAAACACAAAGGTTGTTGTTGAACTCAATCCGTTGCCTACGAAAATGGCGAGGCCATAATTACTCGGTTTAGAGCGGACTCATCATATGTTGAGACAAAAGTCAAGTATTGTTTAGGTCACCACTCATCATTGGTGCCATCTAACTGCACGTATTAACCTGTTGAGTGATGCTGATTTGGAGGTAATCAGAGATTGACCTTTGTCTCAACATACGATGACGTTCTAGTGACGTCAAACTAGTAGAGTAATCGCCGTGATAACCAATCAGAGCTGCCGTTGATCAGCCGTAGTTGCGTGAGCGGTGCGTTTGAATCTTAGTGGGGTGACAATTTTCGGTATTTAGTCGTCTTTAGCTTTTATTTCCTCAATCATCAGACAATGTAATTCATGAACTAAGCAGTTTTCTGATGTGATATTGTATCTTCTTTCCAAAAGGTTCTTATGAATTTTTGCATCAGATCAATCCCTAAAAAAAAATTTTAGCACAAAAGGAACATGTGTCATGCGTTCTCCCGTAAGAACACATGTTAAATTGCGCCCAAGTTTCATCTACTAGCTTGACGTCACAGAATTGTAGTTACGGCCCCTCTATTCTTGTGGGGAACACTCAACCATTAGATCAGGAATCTAGCCCTATGAATCATCCTTTGCACAATTACACTAATGTGTAGTTCACTCCTGTCAGAAGTACCCTTCAGCTAGGGCTTGCTTTTTTACTCAGCAAGTGTCTTTGGTCAAAGGAGAAGTAAATCAGAATTGAAGCCTATCTAGGGCTTGCTTTTTTATTCAGCAAGTGTCTTTGGTCAAGAGAGAGGTAAATCAGAATTGAGGCCTATGCATCTCAACCTCGAAAAATGAGGTGAAGAGGCCCCTGCCCTGTCGCTGTGAAGACTGAAATTTATGTTCAAGCAAGTACCTAGCATTTGTATCAAATAAATAGACAGTTGTTTCCTTATCACTGTCATACATTGTGGACTGTTAAGAAATTTCTGAGGTAATTATTAAAACGGAGTTTTAATCCTTGGTTCTCACACATTCTCAACTTGATTACTTCTCACTTTTTACAGAGTCGAAAAGAAAGTAAAGAAAGATGTGGATGTCGCTGCATTGGTCAAGAAAGATGAAATCAAAAAGAAGAGCAAGCCATCCTCTCTGGTCACGGAGAGGACAACCGCCCTTAAGTAAGTACAATTCATAGAAGAAATTTTACATAGTCCGGTAAGTACTGTGTTGGCTCTGAGAAAATTTACAGGTCAATGGGCCACCAAACAAACTATGAATTAAAGCACTTTGTAATATTTTCTCTCTTTAAAATTTCATGAACAAAACGAATCACATAATGCGAAGTCTGGGAATCAACTCCGAAACAAGACATAGGTGGTTACAATAAACAATGGTTGAGTACATGGCAAAAATACAAATGATGCCATTCATATGATCTAATTTCCATTTGATCTGTGTTGAAAATACTTCTTAATATCTCGCTCAGGAGCTATTATCCGAACTTCTCGATGTGTGAACCATTTTCAATGTAAGATTTTGAAAAGGATATATGTGACATTATTTCCTAGTGTAGACCTTGTCTACTGTCCCATTAACCCATTTACTTATGATTTAATTTGACCCTGCCGGGCCAGGAATTACGATTTAATTTGGCGAAAATCAGCAACTTTGAACACTTCAAAATAATCCAGAAATTATTTCTCAAAGGGTGAAAATTGACAAAATTAGCATTCACAATACAACATTTGAGAAAAATGGTGAAAACTTTGAACACAATGATTTTTTATGTGGTTTATAGCTGTCAAAATCGCAAAATCAGCGAAAATCAGAAAATTTTGAGGTTATTCCATGTGCAAACGCACAGTAATATGAAAATACCGTAAAAAACAAGGAATTACCTTACACAATAAGTCATAGGGTGGTCACACTACTCATATAAACATTGATGGGAACGCAGTCTACTGGAGAATTGCCGAAATAACGCAAACAATCAGCGGACGGCTCTGAGTCGTCATTTCAGAGCTGGCCCAGCGCTGCGATGACGGCTGGGAGCCGTCATTTTAAGTCACTGGGTTAAAGCCTATGCTGAATGAAAGAAGTAAGCAGCATTTTTAAAAAATCAAGTAGGTAAATGAGGATTTTAAATGGACTTTGTTCAAAACTGAACTTTGCCAAAACATTGAATCTCAAGAACTCAAGTTTTAGTACTGATCAAATTAGTGATCAAAATCAAATTTTTTATGAGCCCCTAAGACTTCATTAATTTTAAATTTTCCTCATAATTGTGAAAGTCATGTCGAAGACGCAAGTCTGCAATCACATATCTCGTTTGCGGTGTCTGAAAATCTCTGCTTCTTGTTATATTTTTAAAGGAGAGCAAATTGACATCATTCCTTGAAGTTTATGCAGAATTTTCTTCGCATAAAGAAGAAAAATCACTGCAGTTTTAAAGAATTGCCGTTGAATAGTTTTCCGTTTAAAAAACAAAGTATGACAGGAAGTCTACAACGTCGCAAACCGAGTTATGTGATTACCGACCCACACTGCCAATGTATATGAGAACGTACCATCTTCAATCTTGAAACTTTTCTGTTTTGTAAAGTAGGCACACATAAAATTCCAATGTTTTTGAGCTGGCCATTTTCCTAGTTTGCAGGAAAAAACTTTGGTGTGTAGGTCTTTTATTTTTTGATAGGTTACCTCAACACAAGCCTATCTTTCTCTTTAAAATTCAGCTGGAGATAGATCTACTTACCTTGAATGACGCAGAAAAATTCTGCATCCCCAGGTGAGCTTGGCGTAGCATCGATGCAAATTTCTGTAATATCCGATTCCTCCTCTAATATTTAACATGTTTTCTTTTCCCCTAGTTACAAGACCATGTCTGGAAGCTCTCAGTACAAATTTGGTGTTCTAGCAAAAATTGTCAAACATATGAAAGCACGGCACCTGGATGGGGACGACCATCCACTGACTCTAGAAGAAATATTAGATGAGACTAATCAACTAGATGTCGGCTCTAAAGTTAGGCAGGTAGGTGAACCTTCTTTTATCTCGTCCCAAATACTAATACTAATATACATATAACAAGGTGGTAAAATCGTGCTGAGTTCACTATATTTTGCCGGGAAAACAAGATCAAAAAGTTCAAAAATTTCAATTAGAATCAAAAATTGTTGAGCTTTCAGTCTAAATTTTTAAGCTCGTGCACTAATTAGGTCTCAAAAGACCAAAAACTTTGTAGATTTCTTAGCATGATCTCAACTTAGTATTCAAATTCCAGCTGCCTGAGCTGAACACTCTCCTCCCTCAGTCTTGTACTGGTACTCTTTAGAGCTTAAAATGTTTGTTCATAATTGAAATTTTTGCCTTGTTTTCCCCAAAAAATAGTGTGGACTCCGCACTATTTTACCACCTTTATACAGTTCGGGCTACGTTACTCAGTTATTCCCCACGAATTAGTATGCACAGTTTGGGGATATGGGCCTCTTCCATTCAGGAGTGGCTGGGTGAGTCTAGATGCGTTTGCATGTCCAATCTGCCTGATAAATTTTTTTTGTCAGGTTTTCCTTATTTTGTCTTGAGAGTTTTTCAGCAATGGCGTTAGATGGCGCATGGATTGCACTTATGTGTCGCGCCTCGCGTTATATTCATGACAGTGTTTTGATACTATCTTGGATATTGCGGGATGCTAAGCTGGATTATCGACGCATGTGATCTATCGATGAGGTCTAAAAAGACTCAAAACGTTATATGTAGATCCTTCAGCGAGACCTCACTTTAATATTCCAAAGCAAGCTGCCTTAGCTGAACACTCTCTTCGCTCTCTTTGTAGTGGTGCTCCTTAGGGATCAAAAATTGTTGAAATTTTTGGCCTTGTTACATGGGCCATGTCTCCTAGTATCTGTATGTATTTATTTACTTTTATCTCATTAGTAACTAGTACAGGTAAAATTTGTCTCTAGGAGCAGCATATTTCCTGTATAATTCAATAATAAAAAAAAATTTCACGTTAGGAATAGTTTTTTGGCTGTTTGTAACTGAATCAGTGAGAATGAAAAGACACCAACTCAAAAAATGAAAATGTTCCAGAGGCACAAAAAAACTGTGCAGTAGTTGTACACTGCCCTTCAGCAAACACATATAGTTCCTGTGGCCGAGTGCTAATCCACGCAGCACTTTGCACCTTAAGGAGAGACTAAGAGGGTCACCGTCACGTCCCATCCAGTAAATTTGCACAAAGCAGAAGTTGTCATAGTTCTGCTCCTAATCAAAGCTGACTTGAAATTTAAATTGAGTTTCTTCCATTAATAAGTATTTTCTGTGGATATAGCTTTAAAATTTCATGAAAAAGGAAGACGAGTTTCCCATGTATGTTCTTTACATTTTTCATCAAATACTTATAAAATCTGTTTTAATTATTGTTAAATAACGTCAATGTGTTTGTTCATTCATTAGTGGCTTGAAACAGAGGCGCTGAGGAATAATCCAAAAATTGAAATCAATTCAGAAGGGAAATATTTATTTAAACCTCCATACAAATTAAAAGACAAAAAATCACTAATTCGGCTGTTGAAGCAACTGGACCTGAAAGGATCGGGTGGAGTTTTACTGGAAGATATACAAGAATCCTTACCTCATTGTGAAAAAGTTTTGAAGGTAAGTCCAACGATAGATGTTTTGTGTGAAGCAAACTTTTTTGATTTTTTTTCATGCTACATAATTCTTATTTTCTTCATTTTAAGACTCATGACCACTAATGACCTGTTTCAATGATTAAAAAGACAAATACGTGAGACCATTTTCTGAATTCTTTTGAATTTATCACTTTCAGTGCCTTAAATGCCGACTTGGTACCAATATTAGCATCATCCCTCCCTAATTTCTTCCATGATAAGTAGTATAGCAACATTACTTACCTATTATTAGAAATAAACAATGAAATTTAAAGAAATACCTATCTCATCAGGTACTATTGCTCACTCAGAGTTTCCATGATTTCTTCATTTTCCAACGAACTCCCTGACTTTTCCCCGATATTTGATTAAAATTTCCACCTAGATTTTTTTCTTCTAACTATGCGGACTTATTCTAAACCACGGACAAAATTTTTACTTCTAGAGATTTAAAATAGGGTAAAAGGTACTCGAAAGCAGTTTTGCTCCCTCAAATGGCACTTGCTTAAGTTGTTGAGCCAACGCACTTTTGGCAAAGTTCCCGACTTCTTTTATGAATTCCTTTCTTTTAGATCTTTAACTGAGTGATGGTTTTTCAAAACTTAAACAGTACCAAGAAAATTTGACCGTCAAGGCTTTTGCCCATTTAAACAGTGAATTTTCTCATTTGCCTCTAAAAATGTACATTTTTTCTGCTTGTTCATAGCTCTACGCTGATGACATAATATACGTAACAAGACCAATCGACAAGAAAAAAGTTATGTTTTATAATGATAGGACAGCAAATTTGGAAGTTGAGGAAGAACTTCAAAAGTTATGGAGATCCGTAGCTGTTGAAAATGTGGACGATCAAAAGATAGAAGAATATCTTGAAAAACAGGTAAATCTTCTGTTAAATCACTTATTCTCTCTTTTGCTGAAGGGAGGAAAAACTGATTTAAAATTATTATAGAGTTTTGATGTTGCAAGGAAGATGCCTCAGGCGTTTCAGGGTTCTAGCTGGATCATCAACGACCATGACGAACTCAAAAATGCTTGTAATAGTAGGTTTAAGGTGATTCGATGGACGCCATATTTTGTGTCAGAAAGGCATGCGATATATCGCATCCATTGATTCCGTTTTTTCAGCTACTCGTCATTTTTCTCCAATTTTGAGATCGCAATTCTGTTGTCAGGAGACTAAAGCACTCACTTACCAATTTTAACAAAGAAATTCAATGTTATAAAGGCAAGGTTTTTTTTAGAGAGAAAATATCGCATTCGAGTGCAGTTTCGATATCAGTATCGAATGCGATTTTTCTCTCTAAAAAAACCTTGCCTTTATAACAGTGAATTTCTTCGTTAAAAATGGAAAGTGAGTGCTTTAGTCTCCTGACAATAGAATTGCGATCTCAAAATTGGAGAAAAATGGCGAATAGCTGAAAAAATGGAACAAATTGATGCGATATATAGCATGCCGTTCTGACACAGAATATGACGTCCATCAAATCACCTTAACTAAAGGACTTGGGTGCTCAGTTTCAGTGTCTCAGAATTTCTTTTTACATTTTTCTCTAAACAAGAAAAGAAATGCTTGTAGAGAGATAGAAATTTGAATAATTATTCAAAAATATAGCGGTAAATATTCTTCAAAATAAAGTGGTATCTTCCGCTTTAACCATTAGTTTGCTAGTCCAGTAATTTCATCACATGAAAGAAATTGTTGGTAGAGACTCTGAAACACTGTAATGGAGAGGTACCTTTTTGCACCTAAGTTTTCCATTCTTTGTTTTATGCATCATTTCATTCCTGTAATTTTTGACAGATCACATGAAACTTGGTATCTCAATCAGGGTCAATCATGGTGGGTGGTTATTCATACCAGCCATAAAAAACGGGGCTACCGCCATTAAGTGCATTTTTAACGAGTTAACCTAAAATTCATTTCAGACACCTACAGTAAGACCTTGATATATCTGATTTCACGAGACTGATGAAATAATCTGTTAAATCGCAGATTCCATTAATTTGAATTAGCTTGAGGTTCTCGAAGAAATTTGAAGATTGATCCGCTAACTTTAAATCGAAAACCGATAAATTAAGGTCTTACTATATGAAGTCATGAAAAGGTACTACATCAAAAGGGGTCATTCTTCAAATTCATCAAGATACTACTTGTAGACCCTTTATTCTGAAATGAAACTAATTCTTGCAGTTGTTGTGATTATTTTAGAGCAAGAAAAAATGATATTAGATACATATATGTTTTCCATCAGCACTAATAGTAATCAGAGAAACCAGCCCCTAAGATGAAATGTAATCGGCTTTAAACCCAAGTGTATATGGATTCGGTTTTTAGAGTAATGTGTTTTTTCACAACAATTTTTTTTTTTTTTCATACCAAGCAAAAGGATAAACTAGGTGTGATACCATGCATTTTGATGCATTTTTTTAGCACCCGAACCATATTTTAAAGCTCATTAAGATTTTCCAGTGCAATTCTGGTGAAACAGCACCTATATTACTCTTGTTATTGATTTTGGTTCGTGTCTCTACGGAGAAAACTGTCTATCACATCTTGATCTGTTTAAAAATATCTTAATTTTTCAATTGCAGGGTATACGCTCAATGCAAGATCATGGAATAAAGAAACCTGTGGCACCCATTAAAAGGAAGAAACCGAACCATAATAAGAAAAATTTGAAGAAACCCAGGGACAATGAACACTTGGCTGACATTCTGGAAACTTATGATACTTGAACTATGATCCCAGTAATTATGCTGTGAGTCTTGTCTTTGAAAATTGTCTTTCATGCAGATTTGTTCATGAGCCATATTTTTGTGTTCATAATTGGTTTTCTTTAGAGGTGAAATCCTCTTTGTTTGTACAGAAATGTTATTGGTAGCCTCATCAAAAGATGAAGTATGAAGCTTCAAGTTGATTTCCATATATTTATTACAAGTTTTGAACATCAATTCTTCCTCATAAATTATTTAATATCATTGATTTGAGGTTGGGCAGTGTAGACCGGTTATTGGTCAATCTTTTAAAATGATTCTTCAAGTGCACGTATTTTGTTACAATCTTTTTATGTATTCAAAAGTATTTTTCCAAGAAAGAAAAAAAAAATGACCAAAGTTAAAAGAATATGTGAGGATTGAAAAAAAAGAGGAGGTGAGCTACATCAGACATTATAAAAATGGGGCGCAAAACAAGGTATGTAACAACAAATTGTTTTACATGTTTTCGTTTTAAAATTGTGTGTAAAAAAATTACTCGCACAACGGAAAGTTTAGATATAAATTCCTAATTGAGATAGAAGTGACTTACGTTATATGGCAAAACACAAAAGCCCGTCACTCGTATAACATGTGTCTAATTTGATCAGTGTTGAATATACTTCTCTACATCCTGCCTGGGGATCAATTTTGAACTCGTTGTCAGGTGGAATGTTTCTTACATAAAATTTCAACAAAAAAACATGTAAGATCTTTTTACTCATACCTTGTCTAGTGGCTCACAGTGCAAGTTCTAAATTTTCTAAAGGTCATTCAAAGGAAATTTCCCAAAGCTTTCAATTGCAAATTTTTCGTCCAGCTTCATCTGTTTCAACAAAATAACTACGGAGAACCGCACAAAAAAAAGTTCAAAAATCTTGTAAACACTCACTTGGGCATAGATTGGTATTGCTCTTTGGATACTTTTTGCCGGCTCTGCTCTCAGGCATTCTCAGTGCAACTCACTCTGCTCAGGATGCTGGAGTGCAGAGCTGGCAAAACGCATCCCCAAAACGATATCAATTCATGAACAAGTGAGTGTTTACATGGTTTCTTGAGCAGGTAGTCGGAACAATCCAAAACAATTAGACTCTTCCTCGATTAGTTGAAGTTTGTTTTTAAAGCAAATTTAAATTAATCGAGGAGGATATTGCACAATGCCTAAGAAACTACCTCCTTTTTCCTCTATTCCTCGTATTATGTAGAAACAGTATTTTGGTTTTGTTTAATTCATTCCTGTTTGAGAGCTAAATAAAAAAATAAAGCAACAAAAGGTATGTTTTAATGAAGTTTGTCTTTATTTATTCATTCATGTTAAAAATTCAAATTCGAAAATGCTCATAAACTTTGTACACTTTAATGACAGTGATAATTTACATATTAAATATTCTCTATTTACAACTGTAAAGACTGTGGGTCTTGGTTAATTACACGCTAAATTCTGAACATGGTGACACGATGATACAGAGACAAGTACGAATTCCTCATCATGCTGTTCTATGTTTCTTTGCTTCAAAATAGGATAAAACATAAGCATTTTATTTCCACCTGTGTATTCTGAAGATATAAACTAAAAAGAGAATTTTATTTATAATGGAAGGATAAGAATTCCGTAAGATTAATTTCTTTGCAGAATGTTATTAGGAATCATTTGAAGCTCTAAGCTTTAAACCGAACTGGTTTCAATTGTTGTTTCCTGACAGAGGAACATAACTGCAAGTCAATATTCCAAAACTTTCTATTCAACAAAAGAATTTCAGACAAGGAAGCTGTTGGTCATTTTGAATTTTAAATTTTCCTGCTTTTTCTGCTGATTATGCTTGAGCATTGAAAAATGTTGGACAGAAATTGCACTGTCGTTCTTATTTAATAATTGGAGTCTACTTTGCAACCTTATGACGGTTACATTCCTTTGTCTGGGAAACAAACAAAATGTAACATAAATTGGTTATTTTAGAGTCGCCTATGTGGTTCTGTACGTTCCTTTTTATCAACAAAAAAATTCTGTGAGAACACTGAAGAGAACGAAAAAGTAATGACAATAAAAGGCTGAATCAATGAACACAAATTACTAACAAGGTTTAAAGACTTTATGCAAACAAAGAGGGAGAAAAATATTGCTTCAGATTATAAGGCATGGGCTCTTGTTCGAGATCATGTTCTGAAAGGGGGCTCAATTGGCAACAATTGTTCCTCTTGAGCAAATTACTTTTGAAAAGAACACTGAAGACTTTCACTGAACTCTTTTATGTTTCAACTGAAAAAGCAACTGGAGCACAACAGAATTTCTCCAGCTTATTAATTTTGCTTGAGGGTAAAATTGAGTGAAATTCATCAAATAAATAGGTATGGAAACAGATTTTCTCACATTGTCATCAAAAACAGCAAGTTATCGATAACAACAAGTATGTACGAAGGAGAAAGGTTAAAAAATCTTAAAACTAAGAAATTTTGTCAGCTCTGAAGATTTATTCGGCTTCCTCAATTTGAGATTCTAAGATTGAGATGTATGTATAAATAATTTACCTGCTTTCGCATTGTCTGCAAGTACTTGGGAATATACATATAAATGGAAATACCTCAACCCATTGCTTGTCTAACAAGATCTGATTTCTCTTTTTATTAATTTTTATATAAGCAGATTGCAAAGCCTAGGGCATTTATGCCACGACAGAAAAATTTTAACTGTTTCAACAATATTTTGGTGATTTTCTGTAGGAATTTGGTAAAATTTCCTGGTATACAAGAAATGATATTTAGAAAAAATCATGAAATCAAAATCTTTTTAAAGGGATATTTTACCCACCTAGAAAGACATGTGTCAAAACGTTGTCACAATGTTATTTTAAAAATGACGTTGATGACGGTTTGGCAATTTTACGTTTTTCCCAGCAGGGAAATAATAAGAACAGCGTCTGACATGAGTATTTACCAAATAGTATGACCGGAAAGTGACGAAAAAAAAAGAGGTTAGGTACAAAAGAAATGCAGGACTTGATTTTGGACTCTAATAAACAAAAAATTACTTAAGGTTGATTGAATTACAGCAATAAATACAGTTTTATACATGGCCACAAATTCAGTCTCATTTACTTGATTGAACAAGATTGATAAAGATATTTTGAACAAATTAGTGAGGGAATAAATAAAAAAAAACTAATACAAAATGAACAAAATTTCAAGACAAAAATGAATCAACTGTACAAGCAAGGTCCAGCATCATGGTAATAACGCTCTCTTGCGATTATATACATTGAAAATATACAAAAAGAACTTAGAATGACTAGCTTAAAAGTAATTTTAGAATGCGAACGAGAGTTGTTCCAAAAGTCAAACTCAGAGCTGCTATCGGGTGGACTTGAGTTGAACAGAAGACTCGGAAAAAACTTCCTAGCATTGAGAGGAGCATTAAGTGGTTATCAGGGATGGTCCCAAGCTATTCATATTCCTCGACTTCAGGTAAATCATATCAATGGACAAAGTATGAAACCACTATCTCCGTTTGCGACATTGCAGACTTCTTGTCATACTTGATTTTTTCTTTCACAAAAAAAAAATCGTTCATAGTACCAGAAAGTTCGGTGTCCCATATCATCCTGGCTATTCGGTTTGTCGAACCGAAATTTCGATTCGTGTGACCGAACTTCGTCGGTGAAAAGAACTGACAAACTAGGTTTGGTCGCGTAGACCGAATAGTTGGGATGATACGGAACACCGAAAGTTCGGTTCATATGAACGAAATTGTACGTCAGTTTACTTTACCGTCGAACTTCGGTTACACAAATCGAAATTTCGGTTTGACAGACCGAATTTATTGGATACCTAATGTAGAACACCGAACGTTCGGTCATGTGAAAGAACTGTTTTTTCAGTGATGGAAAACTAATCACCGTAATTTCTTGAAAAATTCCTTGAAAATTTTTCTAGGCTAGGAGAACATTCTGAAAAAATGTCGAGTTGTAGATTTGGCTTGTTTCTCTTCGGGAAAATATAATAGGACCAGAAACTTTGAAATGCCGCAATGGAGATATGTGGTTTCACACTTCGGCCTTACAAAAGAGATACCTGCAAGCAGCTTGTCGGAGAATGCCCTTTGCATTGCTGTACAAAGATAGAAAAATCAATTAGGGGTGATTACAGAAACTTAGACCTCCTCATGATAAGTACGAAGGGACTAAGCATTAAAGCTGTAAACAATGACGTGAAACCCTTGGCGTGGCGTGCTTCGATATATATAGTTATTTCCCTATTTGAAGCAATGATAAAGAATCGATTATCAAGGTGTTCGTTGCGAACACCCGTATAATAGATCCTTTTCCACAGGTTTAAATGGCAGATCAATCGATATATCGTAAAGCACGCCACGCCGTTTGAAACGGAGGTTGAGGAATCTTACACACCCCTTGGATTTTTCATTGAGAAAAAGTAAAAAAAAATTCTTCCTCAATCAATTCAGCTTGGGCTAGTCTCGGTTATTGAACCACAATAACGCTTTCAGATCAATTGTTTCATATCTCTTCCTGTGATGCTGCCTCCCTTTCAAGCACACATTGATCTGCATCGGTGTTCTGCATTCCCCAGGCGCCATGCACCAAAATGCACCTAAAAATCGAGCTTTATCTTTCCACTGAACATTTCTGGTGCGAAAATGCGTCTGTTCTCTCCTTGTGAACGTTTTTATCATAGGTAATTCTTTTCACTGACTTTTGGAAGAGCAGGGAGGCAGAGGACAATGGGCTGCCAGGAAAAATATCAGACACAACCATATCGAGCTGACTTAAAATCAACTAATATAAAATGAAATTACACATAATTACATCATTAAGAAAAAAAAAGTCAATCACAGCACCAAAAATCAAATAACCTATCGTAAGTAGACTAAGAATGCAATAGGTGGATGTGAACGGACAGAAGTAGTTGCGAAAGTTTTTGAATGGGCAAACAAAAGAGTGACTCTAGCTAAAATAGCGTAGTGAGAATTGAAAACAGAAATAGGCATGAAAACCTCACATGTGCCTTTGGGGGTTTCTTAAAGGAGAATATCTAAAGGCGCGGAACATCAGAAATTCCTCTGCCTGATATCGTTAAGAAATTATTAGTCAAACTTTAAAAAAATAGAGGGAAAATACAGTGTGTGAATTGCGAAAAAAAAGTTTAAAAAAATATAAACATCGATAAAAAATATAACAAATAAAAAAATCAATCGTAACGAGGGGGTTTTCCTAATGCTCTGACTGGAATGTGGATATTGCTTGAGTCAAATACAGGTAGGTTCTTATAGTCAAAAAATTTACATATTTTACAACATCCTATTTTGAACAGGAAATGTTTGTACAATTAGAGGGATGCCCCAACAGAGAAACAGAGAAGAAGGACTACCTATCGGGACAAGAATCTTTGATTCTGATTCTTGCGTTCATGGTGCCGCTTTGATTGACAAAAATCCCTTTCTTGTCAAATATATCATTGGAGAGGTTTAAAAGATTATTTGTTGTAAATTAGGTGTATAAAATTGCTTCAGTGTTCCAGATAGGACCATTTTTAGGAAGGGAAAAAAGATCTAGGTATCCAGATAAAACTTTCCTCTACCAACTTATTTTGCCTGATCAAATCTATTCAGTTGACAAGGGCTTCAACTTGAAAGCTTAAAATTGAATATTAATTTAATCTAGTAAATTAACTCAACGACATGTATTGCTTTCTTTAAATCAAGACACCGGCCAAATATTGCTTAGGTACACGGAGTAAAAATAGTTACCTGCGAATTGACAGGACTTCGTTAGGATAAAAACCCTGCTAAAAAATGACCGTGTTGGTGGGTGAAACATGGTGGCAAATTGCATGGTCAAATTGACTAGTAGCAGTGACAAACATGGAACAATATTGAGAGCAATTCAGTAGGCACCACCTCGATACCATGTTTTGTTTCGACATGATATCATGTTCCACTCACCAACATTAACGTCTTCAGCAGGAAAAGGGTTTCATTAGCTGGCTCGGGGGAGTTTTTCCTTCAAGTCTTCCTGTATAATAAGAACACCAAGCATTCGCCTTCATTGTAGTGGGTAGGCAAAGGCTTTTCTTTGATACCAAAACAGGAACATCTAATTTTGATATTGAAAATACGCAACCACCGAGAGGGGAACAAGAGTAGGTAGCGGTTGTCATTAAAAATAAGTAGGTGTATGAACTCTTTGGGGCCCCTCTGACAAGTGTATGTACAAACAGGGTGGCTTAATTAGATTGCATTAAAAATGACTAAGATTACAAACTAAACAATATAAAAAGTCACGTAAAGCTCCGATTGAAGATAAAACCGATATTATAGTCTGAGACGCCATCGAAGGCAGACCACTGAGTCTTTAAGGCCATTTGTCTCTGGTTCCATGAGTGATCCGATGGGCGTACATAGTTTAATCCAAAGATCTCGGCAGATTTTTACTTTTAAGAAAAATAAAAACGATGATTCCCTTGAATTTAAATCCAATAAATCATTCGCGATGAAAGAAACTGCGATATTCGAATAAATAAAAACAGGATTAGTACACGAAGAAGTATCGCTTCCGATACAGCAATCGATCAAAGTATCGATTGAAATATTTCCCCTCGCCAAATCCTGTTTTCATCTCCAAATTTTGCATTTTCTCCATCGCGAATGATTCTTTAGACTCACGCGGGGGAGCTATCGTCGTTTTCTTGTCTAAAAAGTCAAAACTGTCAGGATTCTTGGCTTCAATCAATGCAATAAATCGCACGCCAGTTTGACAACAATCAGAACTCGAGACGAATCATCTTAAACATAGGTATAGCCTATCCCTATATCCCCTAGCCCACGTGCAACAAACTCACCGGGTACCCAGAGCTAACAAAGACGGGTCATAAAGAGACAGTTTGCTCCGTTTTTATGCATTCTCATTTGGACTGCATTTTGGAATTGGGAACTACATTTTCTGGCTCACCCGTAAAAACACGCATGTGCATTAGAAAACTAATGGTCCACACGTTGTGTCTTAATTGACCCAAAAAATGTAGTTCCTAATTGCCAAATGTAGCACATATCACGGCGGGGTGAAAGGCCGCTTGAGCGAACCTTTTTTTAAACTCGTAAAGCTCGTTGTCACGTCTAATTCAGTGAGCTGTGGTAATGAGGCTTCAGCGACTAGTATCTCTCTGCTTTGAGAAAATATGCTTACAACTTAAAATAAGCATGTGCCGTTTGTTGCATCTGAGTGGACAGAGTTGGGAAGCTAATAAATGACTCAGTGGTAGCAGGAACTTCCGGTTGATCCCCGGCGAGGGGAGTTGGAAGCCTAGATAAATCTCAGTGGCGCTTGAAGCTGCTGGTGGTGCTTCGATGGAGAGAGTTGGAATGTCGACAGTGGGTGCGACACAAGTCTCCTGGGATGTACGAGAACCCGTTGGCAACAGTTGTTCCCGCGGGGCCTCGATGGGGTCTCCTTTCGGTTTTAACTTCTGCCTCCGGCCGTGTGGGCAAGTAGAAAACGTTCGACGCCGGGCTGGAGGCAAAAAGCTCTAGCTATAGTTCCGTCACCGGGATTGGCTTCAAGGTTTGCTGTTGCTGGGCAGCTCGGACGATGTAATCCTCGTCCGAGAAGGTCTTCTGGTACTCGTGCTCCTTCCGGCTGATGGCCCTCTTGTTCCACTTGTACTCTTTGACCATATCCTGGAGCCGACGTCGGTACCGGTACAAGAGGATGGACAATACGGCAATGATGGCTACTACTGAGCCGCAGATGGCACCGATCACAGCCTGCTGCCTGGCGCTCCGCAGAGCACAGCCTAACTCATCCGGCGCCAGGGCATGTAGGAATCGGTCCTCCACCCTGGCCGGCGCTGTGCAACGCACGTGAGACGCATTCCGCCGTAGTAGCAGGTCCCGCAGCCAGAGGACGCTGCAATCGCACACCAGCGGGTTTTCCGACACGTCAAGTTTCGTGAGCTCGGGCCAGGCAACCATGGACTCGGAAAAGGAGCGGAAAGCGTTCGCCCGCAAGGACAGTTCTTTGAGGTTCGGGAGCCCGGTCAACGCGCCGTCTTGGATCGCCTCCAACCTCTTGTTGGAGTTGAGTATAATCGTGCGGATATTGAGGTTATTGGCGAAGGCCCCCGTCTCTATCCGAACCAGTTCTTGCGCCCCCGTGATGTCGAGCCTTTGCAAGTGCACCAGTCCATCCAAACAACCGGAGGTCACTGCTGTGAAGAGATTTTGACCCAGGGAGAGCTCTTCCAATCGGTTGAGTTTGGAGAGAACTCGAGACGGGACAGCTGTGAGCTGGTTGTCGGTGAGCACCAGGTTGCGTAACGCCGCGATCCCACGAAGGGCGTTCTCTGAGATGTTGCTCAGCCCTGCTCCGCTAAGATTCAGCTCGGAAAGCCGCTGCAGGGAGCTGAAAGCATCGTCCGGGAGGGTCGAGAAGGAGTTCAAGCCGATGTGCAGGACCGCCAGGCTGCCCAGTTGTGAGAACGCCAGCGTGGGCACGGACTTGAGCTGATTGTCGTGCAGGTAGAGCACCCGGAGGGAGGCTAGGTTCTCGAACGCGGCTGGGTCTATCCTCGAGATCCGATTCTGGCCCAGGTCGAGTTCTTTCAGCTGGGTCAGGTGCCGGAAGAATCGGTCCGGCAGGTCGAGGAGATAGTTGTGTCGAAGGTTTAGGATCTTAAGCGACTTGAGCCCCACGAAGGTGAAGTTGGTCAGCGACGAGAGACGGTTGTTGTTGAGGTGGAGCTCTTCGAGCTCTTTTTGTGACTCGAAGCATTTCGAGGGGATGTTGAAGAGCTCGTTGTGAGACAGGTCCAGGTAGTGGAGGCTCGCGTAGAAAACGAACGAGGTGGCTGTTTTGATCTTATTCTCGCGAAGGTTCAGCGTTTGGATCGAGGGATTGAGCGTGATCGGAACGACTTCTAGGTTGGCTTTCACACAGGTCACAATCAGTGTTTCATCGTTGCACTCGCAAGAAGTCGGGCAGTGTGCTATCGTTGGTGCCACCAGTGCCACGATTAGAAGTGCTACCAGCATCATCTTCCCTGTCATTGTTATCTGAAACAGACCAAAAGCCAACAAATAATTATTATATGAAGTATTATTATCTAACTTATAAAATACATATCGACGGTGAAACTACCAAACCACGTATCCCGGTTTGCGACGTCGCAGACTTCCTGTCGTACTTTATTTTTTAAATGAAAATCTACTTAACGTACAGTCTCGAAAATTTCTGTGATATTTCCTCTTCGTGCGGAGAAAATTCTGTGAAAATTTCAAGGAATGATATTGATTTGGTCTACTTCAAAAAAATAAAATGTGAGCGTAGATTTTTAAACACCGCAAACGCGATACGTGGTTTGGCAGTTTCACCGTCGATATGTCGCACGCAATTAACAATCGCCAGCAATGTGCAGAAATAGGGAAAAAGTGTCGAGTACTAATTGTACTGCCGTTATTGCGATTACCCACTTTTTTCTCCGTAAAACATGGTCGTAACGAAAGGCACACTATGAAGAGCATGTAATGGAATTCAAGACCTTGGTTGGGTTCGGATCGGATAGGCAACTAAACTAGCTCTGTAACAGTGCGTAGAGTATCATTAATATATGAAGGCGTTCCAACCCGTGATCGTGTCTTTGAATGCTATGACCCATCAAAGCTTCGTGATGCCGATGCGCATTGTTGCGATTTCTCGAAACAACATGTAAACTGCTTGCAAATTGCCGGCGATTGCCAAAGCGTCACATACATGTTTTTGATAAAGAGAGAAAGAAAAACGAAAAATTGGTACCTAACTAAATATGAAAAATGATTGGAAACGAGAACATTCAGAACCTTTACGAAAAAATCTTTATAAATTATTCCAGAACAATCGAGGAGCGACAGCACACGCTTGGGGCCAGTTCTGCCGTGCTAAGGAAAAACGTCGTATGAACCTTCAGGCGTTGCAAAATTTCCTTTGATGAAACACGAATTTCCTGGTGAAATTATGAACATTTTTCTTCCAATTTTTCGAATAATTTTGTTCGCAATTTCACCTGAAGTCCCTGAAAAGTCCAAGGAAAAGTGTTCATAACTTGCCTCAAAAATGAACATTTTATCGGGGGAAATTTGGCAACTCTCTACTGTTCATACGGCGTTCTCCCTGAGCACGGTAGAGTTAAAGCCTTGGCTCTTTCTTCCACTCGAACCACTCTCCTTCCTTCCGAGGGGCTCCATTTTTTGTTTAACCTAATATCTGAGCAGGAAATGATGGAGTTGAAAGTTTGTCGAGCGGAGCTCTCGAAAGGTTGGATATCACGAAAACATCCCCGTGCCACGAACTTCCGCCAGCAACTCGATATTTCTACCGACGAGTCGTCCGTTCGCAGCGGCGAAAATCTCGAAACTCCTTGTGCCGCACAGTAGATCGAGTCAATCCGAGAAGTCGAACATGAAATTTTTGACTAAAACTGCAAATTTTGATGATTAATTCGTCACATTTTAAATTTCAAGGGGTGCTTGAAGGGGGAAATTTTACGAGGAAACCAATAAAACCACTTTTAGAACCTCAAAATATCGCATCAATGGAGTTCTAAGCGTTTAAAGTTTCCAAATTTTGTGCGACCTCTCCCATTGACTCGATCCATTGTGCGCCGAGAGGTGACACTCGCGACGAGATCTGCCGTGCTAGGGAAGAACCCCGTATGAACATTCGAGAGTTGCCAAATTTCCTTCAATAAAATGTTCATTTTTGAGGAAATTTATGAATATTTTTCCTTGAAATTTTCAGGAACTTTAGGTGAAATTTAGAGCAAAAGTATCTGAAAAATTGGGAAACAAATTGTCATGAGTTTACCAGGAAATTCGTATTTTATCAAAGTAAATTTGACAACGCCTGGAGGTTTATGCGGCGTTTTTCCTTAGCACGGCAGAGATGGTCTTGCCGCTATTTTCCTACGCTGAACGGAAACGCGACGGCAAAAGGAGAAACTCTTGGCGGAAGCGATAAAAAATTCACGGGACGCATATGAAGCAAATCAAAGCGGGGCGTGGAGGAGGGGGGTTGATGCTCGGTGAGCGCTCACGGCAGCAACAACTTCGGGAGTTGGTGGATGGTGAGCGGCGAAGTTTTATGAGACAAAATATAAATTATGACAATAAATTACCGGCGCAAAAGCCGAAAGTTTGCAGACGAGCTTTCAACTTTTACCTCGGCGAGTCTTGACCTTTCCCCGCGCCGCGCCCTGCAAAAACGGGTGCAGCGACCGGCCACCGATGCACTCGCCGAATGCGATTAATCAATCTGAACGGATTAATCGCTCCAATTTCACTCTCGCGATCACGGCAATGATCAAAATAGAGCCATATTTGGACGGAGTTAAACAGAAAGGAACCAAGCCACATTGGCTGCAAAAGGCTATAAGAAATTGTGTAGAAATTCGTATGCTTTGTAAATCCTTCAGTTTGTACGGAATCACCATAATATTTACAAAACGGACATTATATTTTCCTTTACTACATATTTGTTTTTATCAATTAAAATGAGAATAATCCATACAGAGTGTGCAAACATTTCAAAGTCATGAGATGAACAACGCTGACTCCACGAGATTAAATATTAGAGCCTAACACAAAACGAAGCGGCGGCGCACGGGCGCCTACAAACCTAACAGGGATACTTCACGCATTGCGCAATGCGTGAAGTATCCCTGTTAGGTTTGTAGGCGCCAGTGCGCGTTTTGCGCTGGCTGCCCGCCGCGCCGCGCAGCAGCGTAAAACGGCGCTTGAAGCAACTATTTCACACCAGAGGTATTGCACAGTATCGTACGAAATTAAAGGCGCTCCAACATGTTAGGAATGGCAGGCATCCTTCAAGAGTACGGAGCTTTCCTCGCAAAATAAATCAAGATACTACGGCCCAAAAAGAGAGCGGTATTCCAAAGCCTCACTAGCACCCGTAATTAGTTACGTTCAGTATACACTTTATCGTCAGGCTGTTCCTTAATCGCCATCGGCTATAAAAGGCTATAAGAAATTGTGTTGTTGGCTATAGAAGCTATTGGAAATCTTACAGTCGGCTGTAGGTCTATGGTATTTTGGAACACAGATTCTACTGCCAATTTTCACCAGGGAATCCCCAATTTCCTGTCCGAACAGGCGGCACAGGTCAAGGAAAAGAGGTACAGAATTTGGCATTTTAGCTTTTCTGGTGGCAGCAATTTCAAATTTTTTCCTCTCGCGACAAAAAAGGGGAATGTTTCCAGTTCCCTAAGTTTGCGTGAATTTCCCTCCAATTCTTCTGTGTTTTTCGTGGTTTTTTAGTCCAGATTATAATTCCTTAATTTTTACGACACTGAGAGCTCCGGTAGAGGTGTTTGAACTGACAAAATATTTAACTAACTCATAGTTGTAGATGTATGCATAAAATATTGATCTAATTGTATTTAAAGCATTAAAGTTAAATTGTTTAGACATAACTATTGATTAAAAATCGAGCTTCAAGCCAAAATAAATAATGTAATATAGTATTTCAAACTACATGTAGATGAAAAAAATGCATTAAACATGTAGTTTGATATACTATATTATGTTATTTATTTCGGCTTGTAGCTCGATTTTCTAATCAATAATTATGTCTATACAGCTAAACCAGTCTTTGGCAATAAAATGAGTTACATCTTTTTGTTGGCAAAACAAGAAATACTGCACTGTACTACAGATTGCTCGATGAGATATCAATCAAAGTGAAGTACTCATGGAGGATTCTAACACTTTTCAAGGATATACAAATGAAGCTGATCGCAAAATTATTTGCGTGTATTCCTTCCAGGGATGGAGCAAAAGAGACAAACCTACTGCGCGCAGCTATTCGTGCTAGACTGCGTCCTAGGCTGCTCAAATTGCCATCACGGTATTTGAAGGCGAAACAAACAGGATGAGAGACAACACAGTAGGACACGGGTGCCGTTGCCGTGGAAAGATAAAGGCGACAAAATGAACGAATTTCCTTTGCTATCTGGAAACCGTGCTTGGTTTTGACCGGAACCTTGCAATTTGGAATAGTCTTGACGAAGCTTTCAACGCTCCCTGATGGAAAAGGGTTGGACTTGCGAAACACAACCGCGCGCCCCTCCCCAATTTCCTCCCGTCGTTTACGGGTCTCGAAAAATTTGTCTCCGTCGAGACGTTTCGGTCATTATCCTCAAAATATGATTCCGTGCTCTCTTCAGAGAGGCTAATGCATTGTTCTCGCCAAGTGCTGCCATATCTCCAAGAATTATCGAAGACACGTGGATAATTTCCTCTCAAATTTCTCCGAGAGAGATCTAAAGCTTTACCATTTTTCGATCTTAAAAACTGATGGGCATGATTTTAATTGGGCTTCGGTCAAGCACAAACTGATACGGAGAGCTAGGGGGTGATCACCCCATAAACTTTGACCTGATGGACCACGCGGTTACGAGGGCCCTTTGATGGGCAAAACTTGATAATCCCCTTGAATAGATAACTTTTTAAAAAATATTGCAGAGCCTCTGTGTGCCCTTCAAAATCTACCTTCCTTTATCAGAGGAGAAAAATCTCGTAAGTTGTCGAGTTTTTCCTGAGATCTTCACAACATTCCGCGGACCGAGACTCCTTGCTGAAAAAAATAAAATAAAAACTTAATTTGGGGAAGGCTGCACAACAATACAAAAGACAAATCATAAACATCCGGAACGTTTCGGAACGCATGACAATTTCAATTGATTCTGATCAAATTGACTTGATTTTTATTTAAATTTGTAAGTCTCGGTCTCGCAATAACAGCGAATCAACGAAACGTTTTTTTCGCCTTCTTTCGTCCAGTTGAAAATGAAATTATCATACATTTCGAAACGTTTCAGGTTTTCTGATTTGTCTTCTGTGTTGTTGTGCAACCTTCCCCAAATTGAGTTATTATTTTACTTTGTTCTTCGGTCGATTAAGTTGTTCTTCATGCTAAAAAAAATGTTACTGTTAAATCATCACTACTTTGACGAAAGGGCGTAACTCAATCTTCTCGTGAGCTCTGTTCTCTGTATACCTCAATGC